TTTTACCATGTGGGGTTTGTTTTGTTATGCCTACCTTTCTGGGTGCCTAACCCCAGTCGATGGCAGATAAGGAAAACCCCAACCACAAGGGGTTTTCCAGGGCCATTGCTCCCTGAAACCTCTCTGAAGGGGCCAGGTTCTGGCGCTGGTCCCTGGTAGGTCTGAACTCCTTAGCTAATGTCCCAGTCTAATATAACATACATTAGCCCGATAAGCTCCAGGGAGCCGTAGGGGCTCCCCACAGAAATACTTGTTTTAGAACTGATTTATTAATTTTATTATTTCGAAGCCGTAGGTCACTGAACTATGAGGATGAAATCGAACAAAACAAGCATGGTGTTGTGTGCACACGGATTAGACCTGTTCTTCGCGATGGACTTGTGATCCGCCAATAACATGCATAATTTCTCAAATAGCAGATATCTATCATATTACAGTATATTTTTGGTTTTATTTAGTTTAGTTTAATTAGGATAATAAAGTTATTAAAACACCAGTTTTAGAAATGATTTATTAATCTGAAACGTTCAAAGTCATGGGTTACTGAACTATGACAACATAGACGAAAGTGAGTGAAACCTCACTGTAAAGTGAGGTTTCAGTACAGTATTCATTTATCTGTCCACCCTCACTCATCTTGTTTCATCACAGGAAATGTATATAAGAAGATTTCAACACATTAGCTAGCTATTCACGCTTCAGCCTTTAAATTAATTTACAAAGATACGTGTGCCACAAATCAGTGAACGAAAACCAAAATCATTGAAACTCAGTCGTTCAGTTGTCTGGCCCACTCTGGCTGGTGTTTGGTTAATATGCTTTACTTGTTGTGTGAACCATATTGGCTTGTATTTGGTTCATGTGGTCCACTTGTTGTGTGGTCCATTTGTGTGATCCAACTTGTCTTATGAAAGAATTATTAATTGTAGATAGAATGAGACAGTTTTCACCACTCTGTGAACTCTGTCTGAACATTGTAAGCTTGTGGACCACTTGTGGTCCACTTGTGGTCCACTTGTGTGGCCCACATGTGTGGTCCACTTGTGTGATCCAACCTTTATATGAAGGAATTATTAATAGTAACCTGTGATGGAATGGGAATGTTTTCCACCACTCTGTGAACTCTGTCCCAACATCGTAAGTTTGTGGATCACTTGTGGACCACTTGTGCGGACCACTTGTGTGGTCCACTTGTGTGGTCCACTTGTGTGATCGAACTTGTCATATAAGCGAATTATTAATTGTAATCTGTGATAGAATGGGAAGGTTTTTCACCAGTCGGTGAACTCTGTCTCGATATCGTAAGCAAATCCGAACATCCCCTGCTTCAACGAATCATTGTTCGTCGAACCGGGTGAGTAAATCCGTCCTGAAAAGTGTGAGAACTAGCTGGAGATTCGTTGAATCGAGCTTGTACTGTATACAAATTAGTGCTCATTTACGGGTAACTTTAGGCTTTTCTGCAGGGAGGCACACCAGGCTTTTGTACATTATATTCATACACATCTGTAGGGAATTTAATTGCGAACACAATGATACCAAAACGAGCAATGTAGCACGAGAATTAAGGTGAGAAAAATGGAACGCGTATACACATTTTACTGACTTTGTGCGCTCACGGGTAACTTTTGCCGACTTTAGGCTTTGCTGTTGGGAGTCACGCCAGGCTTTTGGACATTATATTCATGCACACCTGTAGTGAATTTAATTGTGAACACAATGATACCAAAATGAATGACGTGGTATGAGAATTAAGGTGAGAAAACTTAATCGAGTACACACATTTAGGCGTTGCCGTGCGCTTGCCCGCACGCTCGCCCACACATTGGGTGCATGACCTCTAAGCTGGCAGCGCGCCTGTCGGGAGCGCGATAGTGTTAAGACACTAGCTCATCATATATGTAAGTTGCTTAGCTTCAAAGCTGTTCTTTTAATCGGTCTCAAACCCATTATGATATGACAATATACATTACAATTTGTAACTAGCTTATGAAGACTAACTTGCTTAACTAAATGAATAGTGGGATTCAGTCCCTAAGCCCATAATGTACCTCTGTAACCCTTTCCATTACTGACCATAGAATGGGTATGGGGTGCATAATAAATAAATGAACTAAACTAACTGATAAAGGAAATTTGTAAGGGAAGGACTTGTTATATAAAACAGTGTAGAAAAAGATCATACATAAAATAGAACAGAAAAGGGTTTCTATGAGTCAGTACTAGGGAATACAGAGTACTTTTCACAATAAATAAGATTACAGAAGTTCCTTATGATGAAAATCTGAATCTTGTCTTCTTAAGAACTTAAAGTAACTTAACTAAAATTTATGTATCTAAACATTAGTAACTAAATCCAAATCTTGCTAGTAAAATGTTAATTTAAAATTGAGTAAATAAAATTCTTTAAAAACATCTACAGTACAGGGTGTTTCAGAAAAATTTATATAATTTTGCAATCTAATAAAACTTGACCAATTTTTCTTCAAATGATCTCAAATTTAAACAGCATTTGTAGAAACAACTCAAACTTTTATGTTTAGTGTTTTTTCTTTTCAGGTATAGAAATGCTATTCACTGGAAAAAAAAGGAGTTGTGTGTTAGAGTATGCTTGTACACAGTCAAGCAAGACTGTGCAGCATGCATTTGTGAGAGAATTCACTAAAAATGCCCCCAACTGCAATGCCGATTTGGACATGGCACAAAAAGTTCAAGGAGGAAGGCTGACTGTGCAGGGCAAAAGAATCTGGACGACCACCAGTATCGGAAGAGATGGTTACGCAGGTTCAGGAAACATTTTAGAAAAGCCACTGGAAAGCCAAAAGAAGAGCCAGTCTGGAAATCCAGATTCCTCCAATGAGGAACCTGGGTTTTAACACACCAAACTGGTGTTGTGGTGTGTCACAAGGAAACACTTGCTAATGACACCCTACACTGCAGCTCGTTTAGGCCTTAAAGACAGATGACAAGCAAAACTGCAAGCAATTCTGTGTCGATATCTATGAGAAACTTGAAGAAGACGAGTTTGAACAATGTCTTTTTTTCAGTGATGAGGCCACACTTCATAGGAATGGTAAGTCAACAAGCATAATGTTTACATTTGGGGCAAAGAAAATCCCCATGCCACAGTTGAGCACACGAGGGAAGCACCAAAAGTGAATGTGCCTTATGCCATCTCCAAGAATCATCTTCATGGGCCTGCTTGATGGGGTTCATGGCCAGGTGCTTGATAGGGTTCTGAGAGTTCTTATACTAGGTCAGGCTTGACTTGTGGGACCTTGGTCCAACAGGCTGTTGCTTGGAGTGACCCGCAGGCCCACATATCAACCACAGCCAGGTTGGTCTGGCACTTCTTGAAGAAAACTATTTAGTTTTCTCTTAGAAATGTCCACGATTGTTACGGCAATATTTCATACGGTGGAACCTCAGTTGACGAGTGCCTCTTTATGAATTTTTCGGTACGCAAGATCAATTTCCTCATCAAATCTGACTCAGTATTCGAGGTTTGCTTCAGTTGTCGAGTTTGTTGATACATGTATGGTTCGATGAGTGTGTTGTTCAGCTGGGCACGGGGCAAGGTGCACTCAGTTTACCAGTGTATCCCGCCTGGTGACGACAGAGCTAGAATTCTTTGTAAAGAATTTAATTGTTTTTAATTACAATTGTTTTAATTGTAATGCTTTTATGGTTTCTGAACATCAGAGTTGTTATTATATGTATTTATATGCATAAAGCCATGGGTCCCAAGAAAGTCAGTGGTAAAGTTCAACCTGAGAAAATAGTTGAGGATGATGATAGTGAATGAATGTGATGTCTCACTACAAACAAGTGTTAAAATGGAGGGAAAAACAAGTGTCTTTAGATAGATTCTTAATAAGACAAGCAAGCAGTGAGCCCATAACCAGGTCCTAGTGGTATGCCTGCAAAAGAGAGAGAGAGAGTACCCCCAAAAATGTCATCACTCCCTGATTTTATAATGGAAGGGGACTCCCCTTCCAAACACTAACACCTCTCCTCCTCCCCTTCCCTCTCTTCATCTTCCATACCCCAACAAGAGTCCTCAATAAAGGTAAGGTACTTATGAGAATTATTCTGAATAAAATGTATTTTTAAGTTAATATTTTTGGGTGTGTGGAATGAATTAATTTAATTTACATTATTTTTATGGGAAAATTTGTTTCGTTTTCATATTTTCGGCGTACAAACCGTCTCTTGGAACGGATTAAATTCGTAAACGAAGGCCCCCACTGTACTTGCTGGGATTATGTTGAACAACCAAGGACCTTTGATGTTTATACAGTGTTCTCTGATTGTGCCTATAGCACACCCGTTTTTCTTGGGAGGGAAATGTGACTGACGATGTTTATCGCACATGCATCAGAACTAGCTAATTGATGAGCTCATTGCAAATGAACATAAAAACTTCATTTTTCAATAGCACAGGGCTCCACTTCACTGGAAGCTCATTGTGCAGGTTTATCTCAATAAGAATCTGCTAGGAAGATGAATCAGGAGTGCTGGTGAAGAAGACAATGTGCTGTTTAAATGTTCACCACATTCACCTAACCGGACATCTTGCGATTTTTTTCTCTGGGGGCAATGTGAAGGGACTGGTCTATGTCCCCTTCTTCCTACAAGCTTAGAGACCCGTCAGCAGAGCATCACTGGTGCACTGCAGACTGTTACCCAAGGAATGCTGCGGGATGTTTGGCAGGAGCTGGACTACCCACTTGATGTATGTCGGGTCACAAGCAATGCGCATATTAAACACCTGTGAAATCGTTCATGAAATTCACATGCCTTTGAATTTTTCATTCAAATTTTGACAAATAAATCTTATTTTGATCACCATAAAACTAAATAGGCCTAATTTCCCTAGACTATGTAGTTACTCAGATATTTATATCGCAAATGATATAAATTTCTTTTAAACACCCTGTATACTGAATTGAAATTTCAAATCATTTCTTGCATGCATATATTGAGAGCAGAGCATCTACCTGGTGATTCTGGCAGAGTAAGAGTAACATCGTCATCTTGTTTTGAGAAGAGAACAATTGGTGTCCTGGGAGAAGTTGATGGGTAGGATGATGCAGGCTGGTCTAAGGCCACAACGTCATTCAAGTGCTTGCTATCATATAGCAACAACTGGTTATCTGGGTTCATGTCTGTCTGCTCACAGATCAAATACTGTAATTCTTCATATCTGAAATATATTACACTTTTACAAAGAGAACTGCCATACCTGAATAGTCAAAACTTATGCAGTGTACCGACTCCTTCTTTGGCCAATACTGTAATGAGGTTTCTTAGCTGCACTGGAGAAACAGGAAAAAAAGATACAAGAAATATAGAGAAAAGTATAATAAACTGAACATAAAAAAACAGCATTTAATGAAATGAAATGCCAATTTCCAGGTAAGCCCCAGAGGCACCTTAAAGCTATCACACATTAATCAGTGCCATACTATCAGGTGCCATTATTTGCAGAGTTCTATTGGTCTACCGGGAAAAATGAGCCAGAACCTGACCACCTCAGAGAGGTGCAAGTGAAAACTCTACAATTAAAGCTTAACCGTACTTGCCACAACCAGAGAAGCACCCAGAAAGATAGGCAAACCAAAACAAACTACTGCATTTTTAAAAATGAGAGAGCCTCACAGCATCAAAATTGTCAAAAGAACGTAACATAGAACTTTTCGTTCTATGTTACGATTTGCCTGAGTTTTGTACGTGGTTTCTGCTTTTATATTTTCATTTTTTCCGTAGCACATGAGCTGGAACTTATCTTCGTTAAACACCATATTATTTTCTGTAGCCATAGAAAGACCTGATTTACATCTGATTGGAGATTTGCTGTGTCCTCTATGTTGCCTACTCTCATGAAGATCCTAGTGTCATCTGCAAAGAATGATACAGTGCTATAGATTGTGCCCTTGTCTATGTCCGATACGAGAATGAGAAAAAGTACTGGAGCAAGCACAGTACCCTGGGGGACCGAGCTCTTCATGTTTGATGGGCTGGATTTAATTTTGTTGACTATTAAACATTGGGTCCTGTTAGTCAGGAAATTGTAGATCCATCTGCCGATTTTTCAGGTAATTCCTTTTGAATGCGTTTTATGTGCAATAACACAATGGTCACATTTGTCAAAGGCTTTTGCGAAATCTGTGTAAATTACATCAGCATTTTGTTTGTCTTCCATGGCATCTAATGCCATGTCATAGTGGTCCAGCAACTGTGACAGGCAAGAGCGCCCTGTTCTGAAACCATGTTGTCCGGGGTTATGGAGATGCTGTGATTCCATGTATTTTGTGATCTTACTTCTTAGCACTCTCAAAATTGTTTATGATGTGCGATGTTAGTGCTATCGGTCTATAATTTTTTGCCTCTGCCTTATTTCCTCCTTTATAGAGTGGTGCTATCTCTGCTGTTTTTAGTATGTCAGGGATAACACCAGTATCTAGGCTTTGTCTCCAAAGAATGTGAAGGGCCTGCCATAGTGGTTCTTTACAGTTCTTGATGAATATGGAGTTCCAAGAATCCGGGCTTGGTGCAGAGTGCATAGGCATACTGTTTATGGCTTCTTCAAAATCCAGTGGGGATAGGGTGATGGCTGATATATGATTTGATGTTGGTATCATATCCATGAAAAATTCATTTGGGTTATCAATCTTTAGTGTGTTTAGTGGCTTGTTGAAAACAGAGTCGCACTGCTTCCTCAATAACTTGCTCATTTCTTTGTTGTCATCGGTGAAAGTTCTATCTCCCTTTCGCAGGGGCCCGATACTAGATGTGGTTTTTTATCTTTATTTTGCATAGGAGAAAAAATATTTTGGATTTCTCGCTTCACTGATGGCCTTTTGCTCTCTTTGCCTCTCCTGGGTTTTGTATGATTGTATTTGAGTTCAATTGTTTCTATTTCTCTACTTAACCTTCTTCGCTGTTCTTGAGATAGGGTGCGAATCTCAAGTTGTTCGACGATTCGTTTTCTTCGCCTATAGTGGGAACGATGTTCCCATTCCAATCTGCATCTCTTCCTCTTTTTATTTCTTTAGGGTATGCGGTTTGAACATATTTCTAGTACTACTGAGCTAATTTTTTCCAGGCACTGGTTCTGGTTTGCATTTTCTAGCTGTTCTTCCCAATTTATTTCTGTGAAGTCCTTGTTTCTTTGCTCCAAGTTTATCTGTTTATTATTGAAGTTGAATTTGCTGAAATCTCCTCCACCGGGAATCGGGACTGGCTTTGAAGGTCTATTCCCCATGGTTGTCATAACTTTAATTAAGTTGTGATCTGAGTAACAGGTATTTGTAATCATTATGTTCCTGATCAATTCATCATTATTGGTGAAAATGAGGACCAGCGTGTTCTCCGTCCTAGTTGGTTCTACTATTTGCTGGTTTAAGGCAAACCTGTCACACATCCGTAGCAGGTCACTTGCATGTGCCTGTTCATTTAGGCTACTTCCTGGTATTCTTTCTGATATAACTGTATTAGCCAGGTGCTTCCATTTCAGGTGCCGTAGGTTGAAGTCCCCAAGCAGGATGATGTTCGGGGCTGGATTTGTGAGGTTTTCCAAGCAGTGTTCTATTTTCATTAGTTGGCCTATAAATTGCTGATGATTTGCCTCCGGTGACTTATATACAAGGACAATAACTACATTTAAAATCTCTATTTTGATTATCAGCACTTTCACCATATCATTTGAGGTGTTTAGCAGCTCAGTAGAGATGAGTGTGTCTTTAATGTAGAGGCTGACCCCACCCTGTAGCCTGTGTTTCCTATCACATCTGAAGAGATTGTACTCTGAGATCCATATTTCACCATCATGGTAGTCCTTGGTGTGAGTTTCCATTAGGGCTGCAAACACTGCATTTGCCTCATGAAGGAGACCATCTATAAAAAGAACTTTGTTGGATTTGTGTGTTTTTATACCCTGGATGTTGGCAAATATAAATGATGTCATTGTGTTAGTGGAAGTGATAGATGCTTTACTTGGTGTTAATATCTGAGGCTCTGGTAGGTGTTAATATCTGAGGCTCTGGTAGGGAGGCCACTGTGTTTGCATCCTCTCTAGCATTTGACCGAGATGATGATAGAGTCTGGTCATTTTTAGCCATTCTTCTCCTCTTTCTCTTACATAAAATCCTCCCGGTCGATGGAGTTGTGGCTGTTTTCATAGTGGCGGTCTGTCGGTTTTATTCCCCTGGTACCTCTTATATGAAAAGCTGGACATTCAGCATTGAAGCACTCTTTCCTGTCAAGAGATCTTGCAAATTTCTAGGTGAAATAATTCACAGCTTTTGTTACATTTACCTGTACTGAGGAGGTTTCTGCACTATCTAGAGTGATCGTACTTACATGTTCCATTTCCCGATATCCCATGCTTACATGTACCCTATTTGTAATACCAACAGATTCTGGGTCCTTGTTTTGTTTGTTTCCATTTGCCAGAACCCCGCTCTGCTCAGGCGTCCCCCGACTCCGCGCTCTGCTCAGGCGTCCCCCGACTCCGCGCTCTGCTCAGGCGTCCCCCGACTCCGCGCTCTGCTCAGGCGTCCCCCGACTCCGCGCTCTGCTCAGGCGTCCCCCGACTCCGCGCTCTGCTCAGGCGTCCCCCGACTCCGCGCTCTGCTCAGGCGTCCCCCGACTCCGCGCTCTGCTCAGGCGTCCCCCGACTCCGCGCTCTGCTCAGGCGTCCCCCGACTCCGCGCTCTGCTCAGGCGTCCCCCGACTCCGCGCTCTGCTCAGGCGTCCCCCGACTCCGCGCTCTGCTCAGGCGTCCCCCGACTCCGCGCTCTGCTCAGGCGTCCCCCGACTCCGCGCTCTGCTCAGGCGTCCCCCGACTCCGCGCTCTGCTCAGGCGTCCCCCGACTCCGCGCTCTGCTCAGGCGTCCCCCGACTCCGCGCTCTGCTCAGGCGTCCCCCGACTCCGCGCTCTGCTCAGGCGTCCCCCGACTCCGCGCTCTGCTCAGGCGTCCCCCGACTCCGCGCTCTGCTCAGGCGTCCCCCGACTCCGCGCTCTGCTCAGGCGTCCCCCGACTCCGCGCTCTGCTCAGGCGTCCCCCGACTCCGCGCTCTGCTCAGGCGTCCCCCGACTCCGCGCTCTGCTCAGGCGTCCCCCGACTCCGCGCTCTGCTCAGGCGTCCCCCGACTCCGCGCTCTGCTCAGGCGTCCCCCGACTCCGCGCTCTGCTCAGGCGTCCCCCGACTCCGCGCTCTGCTCAGGCGTCCCCCGACTCCGCGCTCTGCTCAGGCGTCCCCCGACTCCGCGCTCTGCTCAGGCGTCCCCCGACTCCGCGCTCTGCTCAGGCGTCCCCCGACTCCGCGCTCTGCTCAGGCGTCCCCCGACTCCGCGCTCTGCTCAGGCGTCCCCCGACTCCGCGCTCTGCTCAGGCGTCCCCCGACTCCGCGCTCTGCTCAGGCGTCCCCCGACTCCGCGCTCTGCTCAGGCGTCCCCCGACTCCGCGCTCTGCTCAGGCATCCCACGACTCCGCGCTCTGCTCAGGCATCCCCCGACTCCGATCAGCACAACCACCAGGAGGACCACCAACACAACCTAAGCTAGCTAAATAAGAAGCTAGGCAGACCTCCTCCATCAACAAAAGGCAAAAACACCTGAAAAAGAAACTAAAAGCCCGGAAGATACATAAACTGGCAGTCAGAGAAGCAGCGGCCGCTGTGTTGAAGTAAAGCAGGCTGCGCCAGCCAAGATGCGCCCCACCCAACCAGAAACCCTTCCCCACTTCGGGCAAGACGGAAAGCCCAAGAACCCCGACGTACCCCAAGGGTGAAGACAACCTCAAGCGACGAAGTCCTCAAATGGGAAGCGAGTCCCAAACGCCCTAGGGAAGATAACCCTTAAACACAAGGACAGTACTTACGGAGCACCTAGGGGAAGATAGTCCTAAGTGCATACTGCTCCGTGTACAAGACAACACCTGGCAACCACACCACACACATTGCTGGTACAGGGCAAAATAAAAAACAGGAGCTTGAAGCCAGAGGTCACTGATCTGACCACCAGTACATCAATTCAAGAACTGGAGTGGTGGGCTGCTGGCTCCAGTGAGCCGATTCCCTCTAACTTGAAACAGTGGGGTTTGCTTACGATCTGACTGACCAGTAGCAGTACAAACTGTACCAGTATATACAGTATTAGCAAAAGAACCGAGGTGGAGAGTCGACTGAGGACTTAAGCCAGGCCACATGGTGGCGATAATCGGTTATGACAAGTTTCGAGCTAGTTTAAGTGAATCTCTTGTTCTTTGTGAATCATTTGCAGTTTTTTGGCAATTTTGAGGCTTTGTTTTCTGTGAACCCTCCAGTTGTAAATAAATCTTCGCTGACACTCTGGAGGCTTTTTCCAGTGTCAGGTGGAGGATTATCACCTGCTCCCTGTTCCTCTGTGAAGGGAAACCAGGTTCTGGCTCTGGTAGGCCAAACAGAACTTCCGTGATTAATGTGACCCTAGTATGTAGCAATCTTGGCAAAATAACTTCAAGGAACCACTGGAGTCTCCCTCCAGAAAAACACATGTGAAGCATTTACTTAACCCTTTGCCCCCAGCACATTCAACAAAATATATTGAGAATGAATGACATGTTATTTTACTAAAGATTAGGTCCCATGCTGACCAGTGAAGCTCAACAAGCATGGGAGCCAGAGATGAAAGTCAGATGGGATTGCTGACTCCCATCCGTGGATCTGGTCACTGCTGTCAACTACTATTTGGTTGCAAGCAGTAACAAAGCAATTTTTGGTTGTCTCTTTGATCTCAAGTGTTGATTAGCAGAGAAGTTTGAGTATTGGGGATGGTATCACCTGACAGTTACTTGGGGCTGGATTGTGAATTCTCCAGCACTATCTCCTATTCCTCATGAAAGGCCTGGCTGGAAAGATGTAGAAATAGTCCTACTGTGTTAGGGTTGGGCATGGACCCTGGTCACAAACCCCAATGTCCATGAGGGAGCAAGATATTATCTAAAGAAGAGGCTGAGGAGTCAAGCTCAGAAATATTACAGAATCAAACAAACAACAAATCAGAATCAATCAAACAACACAGTAGAGAATAAGTGACACTATGATACAAATGCTCATACCTGTGCTCTGGATCCATGTATATTGTCAGTGGCTGAACTTTATTGACTAGGAACACATGTGCCACTTTCCTGCCAAGTATCATTGTAACCTCTTGAAAAAATCTTTCAAAGTTCCACATTCTTTGAGGATCCACTTCTAGTAGTCCTGCCAGCAAGGGAGTTACCAGCTTTCGTAGACCCCTGATGTAAAAAAATATATAGGTGAATGTGTATGAAATTATTATGTAAATTAAGAAAAACCAGCACTGAATGCAATGAAGCTTATCTTTCTGGCGAGTCCTCAGTGACTCTTAGTTGCTAGCTGCTTTGGCAGCTCTTAACACCCAACCTGTCCTCTTAAAAAGAACGTCGCTTTTGGCCGTTTGCCCGTATGGCTGAATATGGACGTAATTTGAAAATGAAAAAAAATTAATATAAATTTTGGATTTTTTTTTTCAAAAACAGTAAGTTAAGGGTCCTCTGATAGGTTAGGTGGGCAGGAAATTCTCAAAGTTTCAAAACGGTATGAAAAACGTTAATTGGAAAGAATCCTCTTTTAAGCTTGCCAAGTAAGCCGGATGACTCAAACAGAAAACGGACCAGTACATCACTTTTGTGAGTCGATTTCATTTCAAATTATGTCCAAATTTGGCCATAGTGCGCATACGAGCAGAAAAACCAGCGTTGAATGTAATGAAACACCATTTTCTGGGCGAGCCCCGGAGGCTCCCTGGAGCTTATCGGGCTAATGTATGTTATGTTAGACCGGGACATTAGCTATGGAGTTCAGACCTACCAGGGACCAGCATCAGAACCTGGCCCCTTCAGAGAGGTTTCAGGGAGCAATGGCCCTGGAAAACCCCAAATGGTTGGGGGTTTTCCTTCTCTGCCATCGACCGGGGTTAGGCACCCAGAAAGGTAGGCGTAACAAAACAAACCCCACATGGTAAGAAACTACAACAAAAACCGAACAGAGAGGTAGAAAACTCCCTACAATCCCAAGGAAAACAATCAAACAATCAATTTACTGCCGCGCCGGCCGTCCGCGCAGCCCTCCCCTCCCCAGGAGGGGGAGGGGGGGGGGCCTCGGACCTCACCACGCCGGCTGCCGTCAGTTCGGAAACTAGGCTTCAACCAACGCGAAAAATCCCGCCGACCGGATGGGAGGGAGGGTTGCCAGGGCGCCTCCGGGGCTCACCCAGAAAATGGCGTTTCATTACATTCAACGCTGGTTTTCTGTGGGGAGCCCCTACGGCTCCCTGGAGCTACATACCCAAAGAGAAGGAAAAAAGGGGACTTACCCGGGAGGCGGCGGCCACAAACTCCTCAACGCGAAGTCGAGACAACTGGCTGCAACCTGCGACCCAAAGCAACACAAGAACGACGAGGAGCAGGGACATTCACCAAATAACGGGCAGCCAGGACCCTGTTCGACTTCCAAAATCCACGCGCTCGAATATGAGCCCAAGACATATTACCAAACACGGCAGCCAAAGCCGCAAACTTCCTAACGTCATGGGCGCGAGGATAGACCGCAGGCTGGCTAGACTTAATAACCCTGCGGACAACCTGGGAGACCCGAGCCCTGGAACAGGGAACGAAGGAAACCGGATCAACCCAAAGTGCATCCCCAGCCACCCCGGCTGAAGCGCGCAGGTAACGGCGAAGTGCTGCAACAGGACACAACACATGATGCACCCCCAGCCAAACCAACCAAGCATCAATGACCCACGGACCCCTCCGGAAAGCAGCCGTCTCGTTCTTTGCCAGAAAAGATGGAGAAGGCTGCAAACGGACAAACCGACCCCAGGACCAAAAGAGCAGAAACCCCTGCACCGGAGGAGAGCATGAAGCTCCCCTACCCGGCCCCCAGAGGCCAATGCCAACAAAAACAAAGCCTTGGAAAAACAATCAGGAACCGAAGGGGCCACCACAAACCGAGGAGAGGAAAGATAGGAGAGCACCCTGTCCATGGACCAGGATGGCTCAGGAGGCGCATGAGCAGGCCGGAGGTGAAACATAGCATGGGAAAGCTTACGAAACGGGGCGGATGTGACGTCCACCCCGAAAGCTAGCTGGAGCGGCTCCGCCAGCGCCGCACGATACGAGGCGACAGTATTAGGCATCAAATGACGGTCCTGAAAAAGCCAAGTAAGAAAGGACAAAATAACCCGATCCGAAAGAAAAGACAACCTACGAAGAGCCAGAAAATGGCGAAAAGAACGCCAGGAAACTTCATACTGTCGCCTAGACGAAGCTCTCAGGTGGGACACCATCAAAGAAGCCACCTGATCACCATAGAAATGGTGATACACCCGTGTCAAAAAGACCAGACGCGAAGAGCAGAGGAGAAGGTCGAACCAGCCCCGTACCAGATCGGGTTGACCTGCTGAAAGAGGCGGAGCCGCGGGAAAGTTCCCGGGTTCGGGCACCGAGCCAAAAGCACCGGAAACCAAGGCTGGGCCGGCCACCAAGGGGCCACGAGGACTACTCTCCCCGGGAATGTCTCTAACTGAACCAGAACCCGAAGCAACAGCTGGACCGGAGAAAAGAGGTACAGGTAACCCCACCTCGACCAGTCCGGCCGAAAGGCATCCACCGCGAACGCCTCGCAGTCGGGGAAGGGCGTCACATATATTGGGAGACGCCGGGACCACGCCGACGCGAAGAGGTCCACATCTGGGAGACCGTACGTCTCGCAGATCCAACGAAATGAGTCGTCGTCGACTGTCCACTCCGTGGACAGGGGAAGGAAGCGAGACAGACCGTCCGCCAGAACGTTGGACACTCCCCGGACGTGAACCGCACGGAGAGCCAAACCCCGAGAATCCAGCAGATGAACCACTCGAAGGGACCAACCCCAAAGAGCCAAGGACCAAAGAGAACCCCCGCGGTTCAGGCAATGAACCACTGGAGAACAGTCTGAATGGAGGCGAATGGTCGATCCCCGAGCGACCCGAATCCTCCGAAGCGCGAACCAGACAGCCGCGAACTCCCGAACCGTGCTGTGAGCCCGATGGAAGGACGGACACCACCATCCCTGGCCTGCCTGGTGAGCAAAGCCCCAGCCGAGAGATGACGCGTCCATGAACACATCGAGCGAGGGCTCGGGAAGGCACCAAATCCCGAAAAGCCTGAAGAGGAAGTCGGTGACGCAGCAACCGACATAAGACCCCCGGAGGGCGAACCCAACGATAGCGAGAGAGACGGAAAGGACGTCCCGAAGGAACCAAAACAGACACCGAAGCCAAACCCGACCCGGCGGGTAGACTAGCACGGCGAAGTTCAGACTCCTGCACAACCGCTCGAGCAACCGCCGAGTGACCCGGGACCCCCTCAGAAACAGCAAACGGCGGTCCCGCAGCCGCCGCAACGCCGCTGGAGGGAGAGACAAGGAAGCAGTCCGAGAATCCCAAACAAGACCCAGCCAGGTCCGAACCTGGGACGGAACCAGATGGGACTTCCTCCAGTTCACCAGGAACCCGAACCTGGCAAGCTGGGAAAGAACCATATCCCTGGCGAGCAGACAAGCTGACCGACTGGGAGCCCACACCAGCCAGTCGTCGAGGTAGGCCAAAACCCGAATCCCTAGAAGACGCAGACAGGTCACCACAACCCAGGTCAGACGCGTGAAAACGCAAGGTGCCAGATTCAAGTCAAAAGGTAGGCATCGAAAACGGTAAGCGTGACGCCGTACCACGAAACCTAACCAGTCCCTGAACCCCGGATGAATAGGAACGTGCCAGTACGCGCCCTTGAGGTCCAGGGACACCATCCAGGCACCCGGCTCCAACAGAAGCCTGACCTGAGACAGTAGTCATCCGAAAGGATGGGCAAGGAATCCAGGGGTTCAGACGGGACAAGTCCAGAATGAACCTCAGATCCGCACAGTCCTGTTTCGGCACTGGAAACAGGCGGGAAACCCACCTGAGGGACGTAGTCGTTTCGAACACGCCCAAGCGCACCCACTCCAAGATGACTTGACGAAGCGCAGGAGAAGAAACCTGCCCTGTTAGCCCCGAACCCCTCAAAGGAGGACGAGTCGCCCAATGCCACCGCAGGCCGGATGACACGACTGAAAAGGCCCACAAATCGTGGGACCAAGCGTGGGCAAACAGAGCGAGCCTCCCCCCCATCGCCCCGTCAACGGGGCAAACCACGAAAGGGCCGACGCCCCTTACTAGAATCCAACCGTCGAACAGGGCGATCACTGCGCCGACCAGACGACGCTGGCCCCGAAGGGAACAACGGCTCAGAAACTGGCACCAATGGCCCACCTCGACCAGCGGAACCCGAAACCCTGGCACGACCCCTCCGAAATTGCCGAGAACGACCGCTCCGGAGAATCAACAAGTCCGCCATAGGACGACAACAAGACGAAGCCGCATGCAGAAACTGGGACATCGCAGACTCTGCAAACAGCAACGGACAAAAAGGAGACGAAAACCTAAGAGCCAGGGCCCAAGCGGATTGCAAAGAGAGGGCGAGCACAGCCTGATGGCACGCGAGGCAAGAAGCAAAAAACAGAGACACCGCTTCCTTCAGGATGGGCGCAAAGAGCTTCAACAGTGCAGCCGACGCCCTAGCTGCCGAAGACAGCGCCCCGGACGAAGGCCCTTCACTCAACGCTCCCACATCCTCCTCGAGCCAAGCAGAAGAGAGCTCGAGATGGGAAAAGAAATGCAAGACCGAAGCCAAATGCCCACGGGCGCAACTCCTCCGCAACCAAGGAAGCCGAAAGCTGAGGAACCTGCACGTGAAGCTGGAAAAGGCCAACATCCCGAGAAATCACAGGAGTGAATAAGCATGCATTAAGGTGCTCAAACTCGCCCCCCAGGTAAACCTGCATAAAAGTAGCAGTCTCCCGCCAATCAAGCGTGCGGGTCCGACAGAACCCATGCCACGCCCCCAACGAAAAGAAAGGGCAGTCTGCTAGCCAGGAAGACTCCGGAACCTCCAAACGCACCCAAAAACGGGAAGAAGAACCGAACTCAAACGAGGACGGATCCATTGGGGAGGCATAACCCGGGTCTCGCAAGAGGTATGCAGCAAGAGCTTCCCGCGCCACCTCCGCGGAGAGATGGGAAGTAGCAAATCCGTGGAAAGACGGAGCCGAGGTACCCAAAGGCGCCCGGAACCGAACCCGGGGAGGAGCCGAACCTAAATCATACTCATACAGGGAAGGGTAAGAAAACCCCTCC